TTAAATATTACTTAATTCTATTCCTCTGGTTTTTTAGTTCTAATACCTAAATTCAATGAGACACAGAAATTCAACCCAGAAGCACTTTAAGGACAGTCAGAAATTTGGGTCTCACGTGACAAAGTCTTAATAAATTATAAAAATCATGGTATATTCTCCACTTATGAATAGAAAAATATATGTTTATAAAAATAGTTTCTCGAATTCTAATGAAATTAAAACAACATATTTACTGAGCATATTTCTTCAGGCAAAATTATTTTCTAGTTCTAAGATACCCAAGAGGATATGAATAAAATTCTCAGTTTTAAAGCAAATGATTGAGTTTATCAAATCTAAATTAAGTGAGATATCCCTGTAAACTGTGTCAATTTACTCTTTTCCTAAAGAAAGCAAAGCTGCTTCTACTTTTTAGAAGATAAGCCAAGATTTTTATTTTTTTTACAATATAGCTAAATATAAGCTGATGCTATATAAATAAAATACTATTAAAATAAGGAGACATGAATCAAAATTGGGGAAAAAAAATCCCCAAATCCTACACTAGAATTTAAGTTTCAGGTAGTTATATTACTTCAATAACTTTAAAATGTAAATGTATACTACACACACAAATAATCACACACATATACTCACTAGCATGCAAGTATAATCACATCACTTTACACATGAAAATGATTTTTTTATATTTAACTTAAAAACACACATCTAAAATAAAATAAAATGTCATGAATATGAGAATGAAGTTGTTTACACTTATTACATAAATTAAGATATAAAGTGATCTGACCTTATTTGCTTTTGTGAACCAAAGAAGCTAATACTACAGGCAATTGGGAAAATTAAGTGTTGGCCAAATATGACAACTGCATTTATACTGCTCATTAAAAAGAAAAATATAAAAAAATCCACTCACTTGGGCAAAAGAATAAATAAAAGGATAAACAACAACATTCACTACCATGCCAACTTACAGACAAAACAAACTAAGATGGTTTTAAAAATTACCGGTCTTGGTGGTAGCGACTGTCTTTACATACGGGCAGCTGACTATTTGCATCATTGCTACACCTGTAAAATGGATAAGCAAGCATACGTTGGAAAGCTGCCATTGTATGTCGGCTACCACTGGGATTCAGGGAAATAATTTAAGACTACAATTTAGAATGCTATTTCTAATGAAAAAGACCAAGAATGGAGTAAAATTTCTTTTTGTTTGACATTTTGTGGGAAGTGGCACCAACTCCAATGATACTAATCTTAAACAATAGCATCAATTACCTTTTTATCAAACCAGCTCTGATAATATTTGAAGGAGTCTCAGGACTTTAAATTCAACAAAACAAAGCCCCTTCATTACATATACGTAACGAGTTCTCATGTGGGACATTTTCCCACAGGACATCAAACTCATGCTGCTGTTGCTTAGATACCAGTGAAAGGCAGATGCAGCATGACACTGACAAGACACTTCCTCTATGCTGCTGCTAAGTTGAAACTACAAGCAGGAGCTGAGGCATGGAGCACAACCATGCAGAAGTAGAAAAGGAATAAGGACGAAGAGCAGTGGTAGAGATAGGAAGAAAGTAAGGTATGAAATGGATTCAAATGTTCCACTGCAAATAATATTTTAAATAAAAGAAAAGGCAAAGATGAAGAGGAGGGAAGCATTCAATTAATGGCAAAATATCTATCTTTAGTGCCTGCTCTATGAAATCCCATGGGCTTGGAACACCGTGGAGGCAAGCTAAAACATTAAGAACGTACAGCCTCTTTAATATCATTAGTGACTATATGGGCTGATGTCTGCAGAAACCTCTATCATTGAAGCCGGCTAAAGAAGTAGCACCTGTATTAAAGAATGGAAATTACGTACATTTCTTAGAAGAATGAAGGCTCATCATGATGCATTACAATGGTGATTAAAAAAGGGAATGAAAGGAAAAGCTGGAAAACTAAGGCTGATTAATTGAGGAAACTCAAAATTAAAAGTGACCTTTAAATTTTTTTAAATGGAAAAGGCTGAAGTCCAAAGAAAAGTGTAGGGGAAATAATTTTTATTTTTTCAGCTGAAAAAACACAGTTTGGTACCCATAAAAATTAAAAATAATAAACTATTTTCCCTACTAAAGAACAGGAAAAGAAATTTCTCCTAACTCAGAGAATAAATATACAATGCAACTATGATCACACACACACACAAAAATACTGCCAATTTCTGAAAAATGCCTTTAATTTCTTAATTGCTATCTTATACGAAGAATATTAAAGCTAAACTTTCTATTAATACGAACTCTTAAAACTAAAATAAAAACACTAAATTGCCAGGCACGGTGGCTTACGTCCATAATTCTAGCATCTTAGGAAGCCAAGGCGGGAGGATGGCTTGAGGTCGGGAGTTCGAGACAAGCCTGAGCAAGAGTGAGACCTCCATCTCTACTAAAAATATTACTAGAAAAATAAGCTGGGTGTGGTGGCACACGCCTGTAGTCCCAGCTGCTCAGGAGGCTGAGGCAGGAGGATGGCTTGAGCCCAGGAGTTTGAGGTTGCAGTGAACTATGATGACGCCACTGTACTCTAGCCCAGGCAACAGAGCAAGATCCTGTCTCAAGAAAAAATTTTTAAAAAAAGAAAAATTTGGTTAGGGAAGTTACAGCATGTAGTAAGTTTAAATTAGTATAAATACTGCCACCTGCAGGATCACTGAACCTATGAAAGCTAGCACCAGAAATTCAATTCATAAGAATATATAAACTTTACACTCAGAGACTATTCTCCAAAACCATCCTCCAATAAATAACTTTAACTATACAATTTGAATAGAATAAAATCAAACCTATTCATATTTAAGTTTAACTGTTGTTGTTAATAAACAACTGGGCCAACACAGAACTCTTCTATTTGACTATCAAAATACAGACCATACTGAAAACTCATGTTTTTTCTCAGGCTAAAAAGATAAACTCCATATCTTATTCCTGTATTTTATCTAATTCTTCCACTCCTTCCTTTCATCTTATTTATGACTTCCTTAATCATCCTCATTAGAGCCAGACTATGCTATTTCAAATAGAATTTAAGGCTCCAAGACAAATTACATATAAATCCCTCCTGTTCACCTTATTGCTGAGTTGAAATAAAGAGGGAAAAACAGAGAGAGATCTTATTGTACATGTAACCGACGACGATTTGGAAAGGCAAAAAACAAGTCATCTTTGTCCTTGTTTTTCACTAAACATCTTGTAGGATTGAATTAAAAGGGAAGATAAAAAAAATGAAAGAATATTAATACCAAAAGTGCCTTAATATATAAACACATATTAATATCACTTTCTATAAGACACTAGGTTCCCTCTCCAAAGAATTTTGGTATTTGAATAAAATATTAACAGACCATCCAATTCAAGTTCTCTTCCAATTAACCTACGAAATGTCACTAATGGTTGCCATTTATTGAATGCCTTTTACTGCCAAACTTCACAGGTACCACCTTCATCTGGTGACCCAAATGGTCATCACCACCTGTCCTAAATTTTTTAAGGATGGGGCAAGGGTCAGGGGAGACCATGACATCAAAATGCAGCTATAGCTGGAAGGATTTTATTGTGACAAAGTTCCACTTGTACAGAAATGAATTTTGCTACTCCGTTACTTTTCACCCATTGGTCCTAGTAAGAACCACTAAAGAAAAGCAAAAGTCCTTAAAATGACAGCCTTTGAAAATATTTTGACAACATTTTCATGCTACCTACCTCTCAATCTTCTCTCTACAGAATTAACAACCCCAGCTCCGTCAGATCACTCAGAATACAGGATCTGGTCTTAAAACTGTCTTTAACTCCAAAAGCAGACCAAGATTGCAAAAAAGAGGTTGCGACAAACGTCAAGCTATTCCACATTTATCATTTAGTTTTCTATAAAAATTACATCCAGAGGAAAATATCCAGCTGCTTGTCTTAAATTTAATTTAGAAAAAGGATAATCCCTAATATTAAAGAAAACATTTTGAGTTTTCTTATTTTTAAATTGAGTTTCTTAAATACCATATATTAGGCATTTAATTATCTAACACTACATCAACAATGTGTAAAAAGGTTTTTCTATCAAATCAAAAATCAAACAACAAAAAACTAATTCTTGAAATTTTTGTGTTTTTTTTGCCAAGGTGTATCTGAAAGTATCCTTTACAAAGCAGTCACAAGTAGAAAGACAACTAGAGCAATAATAATAATTAAGATGTATGCAAATAAGAAATAGCTGTATCACAACAATATTCTCGCACAGAAACTAATATAGTGAAGTGGCAATAATAAATAGTGGGCAGAATGTGAAATTTAGAGACAAAAGGCCTGGGTTCTATTCATCTTTGCCACAAACTAGCTCTGTGAATTTGACCTCTCTAAGGTATCAGTATTTTCAACTATAATACAAGAGAATGAACTATAGATCAAGGATTAAATGTTTCTGACAACAGCAAATGCATTCAAATTTAGAATGCCCAACACTATCACTGTTTAATCCCTATGGTAAGAATTCTACTCCACAATCTTCTAAGTCCTTCTCTAATCTTAATGATTTATCTTAAGACAATAAAACACATGAATTCACCATAATAATTAAACTTTTAAATGATGCATGTTATGTTGTACACTGCAACTGTTACAAGAGAATGTTTCTATTTTACATGAATTTTTTTTAATAGTTAAAAGTAACTCACATTTTCTTCCCAGTGTTAATACAGTTATTAAGAGCCTGGTATCTGGATCTGGAGGATACAGGCTCAAATCCTAACATCATCACTTACTAGCTATGTGACCTTGGGCAAGTAATTTAACCTGTCTGTGTACCTACCTCATAAAATGGTTGTGAAAATTAAAGGAGTTATGCATGTAAAGTGCTCAGAACAGTGTACTAGATATAATTCATTCAACTTGTGTTAGCTATTATGACTTGTGATTTCTCAACTTCATAGACTCAATCCCTTAAAATATTGCATTTAGAACATATTTACATGAAAAGATGATCATTTTTAATTGAGGCCATTATCCAAAATAAGTGTAGCTTTAAATGTGGCTCTAATTTTAAGACATGTAAACAACAACAAAAAAAAGACATTTACCAAAACTTAAGAGAAAATATTGCAGTTAGCCATGAATCTTTCAAAAACGTTTCAAACAGGTGAGATTCAAGGCAAATTTCAAACTCAACAGACACATGAGAACAAACTAACTGACAAAATGGAAACACAGCTGGAAAGACCATTATAATCTGTTGGTTTACCTGGAAGTGGAATTGGCATGCCAGGAAGGGGAACACGAAACGGAGGTACCATTACTGGTGGAAAAGCAGGTATTGCAGCTGCTGGCTGAGGTACTGAATGAGGAACAGCAGGAGGTAACGTCTGGGGGTGCGGCTGGGGAACAGTTTGCACAGGTGTGGCTGTAGGAGCAGGAGCTGAAACACTAACTGTAGGCGTGGCAACTGAAACAGCAGAACTTGGGGTCTGATCTTGTGTTGTGGGTGCTGATAAGAGATAAAACAAAAAACATGTATCACTCCTTCATAAACCACTTTACCACATCCATTCATCATTCACTCATTCAGTAATTTAAGTATTTAAGGGCCCATTCCATGCACTGTAAGAAAATTGTCAAAAGGTCTTATCTTCAAGAAGCATGAAAGTAGTCAGTTAAATGAAACATAAAAAACAACTAACATACAAAATGAAATGAGATAAATGCATAGAAGTATAAATCAAAACCCAAAGAGTATTCATAACTGTGAGAGGGAACAGAAAATGTTATACTGAGATGATTAAAAGATTAAGATTCAACAAGGAAAATGGGGGAGTGGAAGGAGAAAATAAGCAAGTACTGGGAAAAGTATGAGTAAAGGCAGAAGAGTAGAGAACAAAAAGAACTGCCTAGAAATTGAAGGTAAGCAGTTAACTAGTGAAACAGCAGGCATACCCACAAAACCAGTGAGTTATGGCTAGAAAGGTAGGCCAGAGGCAGAAAACAAGAAGCCTTCAACAAAAGGCTAAGGAGTCTGTATTTACTGAGTAGGGAAAAAGCAGAACTTATGTACATGTGGAGAAAATGATCTAGAACACACACCGAAATATATTAACGGTAGTTACCTCTATGTATGCCTTTTACTTTTTACTATATATATGCTTCATTAGAGTAGGAATTTTTTATAAGAATGCATTCATATGTTACTTGTATGATTTCATGAAGGTAAAAGGAGCATGGGGGAGGAAAACTAAAGGTTTCTGTATGGAAGAGTAATAATCAGTGTTCATTTGATGAATTAACCTGGCAGATGTATAGGAAGAAAAGGAAGAACAGAGGTGAGAAAATCAATCACAACATTACTAGAATTGTCCAAGCAAGGAAGAACAGAGAGAAAAAGATGCAAATAACTAATGACTGACTGGACATGAACGAATGGAATCAAAAACAACTCAGGTTTCCACTGTGAGAGATCAGGAAAATGTGAAATTCAGGATAACTTGGGTTCTGCTAATACACTATTTTTAAATATAAAAAATATTTCATCCCTAGTAATTACATTTAAAATCAAACTGCCTAAAAAATAAATAAAATCCATATTTTGTACTTTTAAAAAAGTTTCAGTTCTCACATATTACAAAATATCTTTGTTGTTTATTCATAACACACCTAGTTGCAAAATAAAATTCATTTTGGAAATTCATTGGTAACAAATACCTCATCGTTTTTCTTGACGTAAAGAAAAAAGTATCAAACTCTACCTATATTGGACTAAGAATGAATTTATCAAATTAAATGAAATAAAAACAATGCTTTCCCAATCTTTATGCCAATGTTATTCTAAGCAAAAACACACTGTTTAATACAAACCACCCAACAATCCATCTGACAACAAAATGTGTCAGTATCTTTTTCCAGCTTCTAATAATGAAAAACTCACTTAGGCTGGGAAGATGTGAGCAATTTCATACTTGTTAATGAGGGACTCACCTTGGCTAAATAGACAGCAGGGCCAAACAAGTATCTTCAGCGGCCCAGGAATGAATTGTTGGTCTAGCATAGACCTAGCCTTAGGGTACAGTATCATATTAATATAATTTTATAACAGTGTGAAAAATACAAATTACATGCAACATTTGCCCAGTCCCATACATATATCATTTAGCATTTGTAATCTACTGTAATGGCTAAAAACATTCTAGTTATTCTTCCCAACTTTCCTGAGAAGTAGGATTTCACCATCATTTTTCACAAACTTGCACAAAATGAGTTTATGTTCAACTGGGATTAAAATACAAATAAATCTCATATTTCCTTTTAGTCCCATTTGCCCATAGTTCCATTCTGCAGTCCATGGAATTAAGTTTTTTAAAAAGATTATAATAGTATGCAGATAATTACTAAAATTATGATCCAAAGTAATTATAGTCAGGAAAATCAAATAAGTTATAAGGGTCTCAAATTTCAAGTGGAAAGGAACACTAATGGAGATGGCAAAAAGTATTCATTCGATTCATTCCTCTTACTTTCCAGCACAGGAGTTTCTGAATTTGATTAGTGGCCATGAGTCATGATAGGAAGGAATAAAAGGAATAAAAGAATTAAATGGGAAACTGGGAGAATAGTATCTAAGACTTTATCGGGTAAATTCCTGCTAACTCCATTTGTTAAAATAACTAGTGATGTACTAGGCCTCAAAATATACTACTAACCCAGCTTCAGATCTTAACTACAAAAGTATTAAGACTATAGTATGACAACACTGTGATACTGAACCAACAGAAACAGACATCAGAATATCAGACATCAAAACTGATGTTTAAAAGCAGTAAAAAGAACATGATTTTGCATTTTGTTTTCGGAATAAAGGCCTCCCAATCACTAAAGGACAGTGCAAACAATTACAAATGGGATTTATTAATACAATAATTGATAATCACAAGATATAGCTATAAGCTTACTCACAGACCACTCAGGTAACAGAAATGGAATATATATAGGATGGTGAAAATACCTGCTAACCACCTTCCTTAAATGAAATAAAGTGCTACTATTTCTCCTTTCTAAGGCAGAAAAGAAAATTTAAGCAACACAGAACCTCTACAAAGAACTACATTGCTTTAATTAATCCCCTTCTCCCATCGCTGCTGCAAGTACCCATAAAAAGTGGCAGTTTTCTGCCTTGTCACACAGGTCTTTGAAGCACTAAGCCTATAAAAATGTAAAGACCCTCAACAAGCTAGCTAGTACAACTGTTATATTTCTATATTTCTAAATTCACCTCAGCTAAAAAAGAAAACAGATTTGTAAAGCACTATTTACATTTTCATGTTAAGTACATTTCCGCCTCCACCCCAAGATATCTAAAAAATATTAAGTAGGGTCTTTAAAAACTGTCTCCATATTACATGTACCTTAATTCTTCAGTTATTTCTTGTATCAATAAAATAAATTCAAATTTGAATCCACTGTGATTAAACGATTTTCATATACATGTTTTTTACACACTAATAATTCCCAAGTCCCTGAAGCTACCAGGAAAAAGTAAAAAATCTTTTTTTTCCTTATTCTTATCTATTATCCAGGTAGTAAAATAATACAAATTATAATTCACCCTGTCGGGATAGTTATGTATCTTCAGAACAGTACCATAACAAATAATGAAATCAAAATCTTTATTTAAATACTTTTGGGCTCAGTTTCAGCCTGCAGAGTAAATAGTAACATCCATATACCAAAAAAAAAAAAAAAAAAAAAAAAAAAAAAAAAACCAAAGAAAGCAAAATAAGTAATATAGATATTAATGACAATCTTTTAAGCAAATTAATAGATTCATCCCTATCTTCATCCCTGAAATTGGCCATTAATCAACTTTCATTTTTAGAAACGATCTATGCCTTGGACCTCTGTGACATTATACCTAAAAATTCTCTTGCCTTTCTGACTGCTTCTATTATAACTCAATTCATGTGCCTGCATCCCATTCTAGGACCTACCTACCCTGAAAGAGATTACTGAAAAGTTCCTAATAAATAAAAGTTCCTGATTTCAACACTACCCATCCCCCTCAAAAGAATCCCCCAAAAAACTTCCAAAATACTGCATTTATGCAGGCCCCCTAGTGCCTGTCTCATCCATCTGCCCAGTTCTTAAGACCCTTCAAAACCCAGTCTCACTCTTAATCTATTAACCAATATAAACCCTCTCACCTAAGAACAGTTTCTTAGCAATCCGATAAACTGTAATTATCCTCATTTCCTGACCTTTGTTCATGCTGTTTCTCCTATCTGAAAATCTTTTCCTTACTTCTGAACCTACTCAAATCCTACACTCATTATCCTTCATGATAAACCTCAAAACCCACGTGGTCTACCCACTCATCTCTCCACTTCTCCAATTCTTATATCTTTCATTTTCACTGTATACTTCTGCACACCATTCTCTAATTGTTTCTCATGTGTTACTCTTGCCTCCTCAATTAGAAAAACTGGAACCCTGTAAGGTAGGGACCAAGACTTATACTTATTTTGCAAACCCCACAGCACTCAGCATTACTGTTGACCAAGCTGAACAGCTAACTCTGCACCTCCCAGTTTAGCTTCATGAGCTGCAACTGGGCAAATAATTTCTTCTACTAACGTAAATTTCTATTTCTCTCTAACTCAAAAGTTTTGATGTCAAAAATGCATTTTCAATAACATCAAAGATAACACCAGAAATACTAGGATCATTTTGAAACGCAGTCCCTACTTCTTCATTTCTCTAGCCCCTAAATGAAAACACATGCTGGCTGATACTCACTTGATACTGTCTGCGCAACCGAAGTGGCAGTTGTCGTGGTGGAAGTGGTAGAGGAAGGGGTGGATGATGATGTTGAAGTGGACACTGCAGATGCTGGGCTACTGGTCGTAGGGGTGGAAGCTCCGACTGCTTGTGCTTGCACTTGCGCTTGCGCCTGGGCCTGGGCCTGAGCCTGAGCTTGCGCCTGAGCCTGGGCCTGGGCCTGAGCCTGAGCCTGAGCCTGGGCTTGAGCCTGAGCCTGGGCTTGGGCCTGGGCCTGGGCCTGCGCTTGGGCCTGAGCCTGCGCCTGAGCTTGAGCCTGAACCTGTGCCTGGGCTGCAAGCATAGGTGTCAGTTCTGATTGCTGAATAACCTTAACTCCATCTGGCTTGGTCCATGCAGATTCACGTGTCCGAGCATTATAATAATAAACCTGCAGAGGAAGCAAAATCATAGGTATCATAAATCTGTGAACTATTATTAAAAACAATAATGCAACAATGTTTTATCTTAAAAGCTATTTAAAAATAACTTTAAAGAGAAAAAGCATATCAAAACAGGGCTGTAGGTAATTCCATCCCATCCCCCACTTTTCTATAATGAACACATCTTATTTTCAACACACATAAAAAAAGGAAAACCGATGTTATATTTTGTGCAGAAAGTTAACACAGCAGGCCTGAGACTGCTGTCCCTAGAAAGCCCTGCTTACAAAGCTGGCCCGTGGCTGGAGTCTGGGAACTTGGATTTCAGGAGGGTTACCAGCATTCCCTCACGGATAAGAATGGCTCACTGTGTCTAAATCGTTTATGCAAACAATGCAGTTCATGCTGAACATGTGTTTTCCTTCTGGGAGTCTGGTATTTTAGTATGTGCTAGTCAGATGGTCCCTATGTAACCAGAAGCTTCCAGAACCACAGGTAAATGTATGTTAGCATTCCAACCGCCCTTATATCTGCTGCACAAAAGTCCAATCCAGTCAACTTTTCCTGGAGTCCTTACCCCATCCTCTGCTTACCCGAGGCTCATTCTTAATTGACAAGGATACCATCATTCATCTCAACCTACCAGTACTCTCAACTTTTACTCCTCTTTCGCTAAAGATAACTGCAGTATATTTCATAATTTACCTTCCCATCTGGAGTTTTATTTTCAACCCATATTTCCTCAGTCGGAGGCAGTGCTGGAGTACCAGGTGCAGTCACAGGAGGCATTCCTGGTGGAAACATCATACCCGGAGGAGGAGGCATGGTTCCCATGGGTGGAGGCATGAAAGGTGGTCTCTGTTAATTCACAAGAACAATAATGGTCATTTGTAATTACCTTTTTTACTTCAAATTATTACTGAATTCTATCCAAAAGTAAAGCACTGTAAGAGAAACTAGTTTTATAGTCTATTCAAATACATTCACCCGTTGTGTAAGCAAAGTTTTCTGTAACAAAAATGATTACCAAACAGACTAGAAAGAAACACATCAAAATACTAACAGTAGTCAACTCTGGGGTACAGCACTGTGGGTGAATTTTGCTTTCTTCTTTATACATGATTTGCATTTTTCATACACTGGGCACTGTATTACTTTTTTTTTTTGAGGTATCAAGATCACATTTTATAAGAGGAATCAGCGTTTGCAAATCGTTCCCATAATTGGTGTTTCCTCCACTCTGTGGCCTACCACGTTTCATCTTCTTCATAGTAAAGAAAGTCGCTTCCTGGCAGGTTAGGGGTCTTGGTGAATTTCACAGCCCACAGAGAACCTGGGTCCCCCACAGTAACAGGCATGCCAGTGGATCACTCTTTTTCTTTTTTAAATGATTTTTACATCTGTTTTAACACCAGGCCCACCAATGCCTCCCCACATTCACCTACAATAGGTACCAACCATAAGAGAAACATTATTTTACCAAATAACACAGAAATAACCAAAAAAGAAAAATCAGATAAACCTAAGCCTTTATTCTCTTTTCCTACCAAAAAAAAATTATTAGCTAGGAATATATTCACCATCTCCTATTTTCTATATAATAATAATATAATTCATCAAAGACATGATCATCAATAAGCTTAAAAGATACAATAAAATAATTATCCATTCTATTTTTTAGTGGAAAATTAGCATTCAACTTAGGATATACCTCAATTTTTGTTTTAAATTTTCCAGAGCCATTACTTATCTAGTCCTAATTCTGATAATTCCTTCACTGTCATTCTCCAATGACTGCTGATACAATGCAACACCCCAAACCAAACAATTTAACTGTAATTACTGTATCCTACTTACTAAAGCTAAAAAGTGGTCTGACTTTTTCTAAATATATATACCCAATCTCTTTAGTACAAGGATCCTTTTACTGTGCATAATAACCAGTTTCAAAATTAAAAATGAATATTGGTATGACATTTTAAAAACAGATTTTGAACAAGGACTAAAAAGATTTCTTCTATAATCTGGAAGTAACATTAAAATTCAATTATCTAAAGCACCTTAATCTGGATAATGGAATTGAAACTAGCTAATAATGTGAAGCTATATTGTCCATCATTTTTTTTGTATTTTTAGTATAATTCATTCTTGATTATCTAAGCTAACAGAAGGCAGATGATACCACTATATATTTGATTTTAGAATTGTACAGGCTTGTCTAAGAAAACATAGATACATATCAAACAAAAAGAATACAATCCCAAAAGTAGATATTTGAGAGTTGATTCCTTCAAGACCTCACTTCAGACAATAAATAAGTCTAAATACACTTGAGAAGGATATATGCCTCAGGTTAAAATACCACCAATGTTTCTATTTAAAGAAATCACATAATTAATCTTTTTCTAAAATAAAATAATAAGATAACCCCAATTTTTTTCCAAAGGAGATAAAAAAATTCAAATTTGTGCTTACAAAAGGTGTTTTGTTGTCACTTTCCACATTCTATCCTAGGTACCATTTCTGGGGAGAAAAATTACTCGGGAATATACATACAAATATTTTTCTACTTGCTGGCAACATCTATCATTGAAAATAAATTTTCTCCACTCAATCCCTTAAGATTTCGAACTTCACGTCCCATAAAGAAGATGCATTACTAAAGAAAATTCACAGAGAGAAAGGTAGGCAAGAACTATCCTACTGAATCCTAGTTTTATATGTATACTTTTCTATCACCATCTAAATTCCTGTTCTGAATTTCTATACTAATCACCACTACCACTACTTTAGGAGTAACATGTTAATATATGGATGTTTTCGTTAGCTCAACAATTTTCCTATAAATTGAAACTATGTAAGATACAAGTTTTTAAGGCAAAACCCATATACAATATTGACAGTGATGCCAACAAAGAAATGGTAACCTCTACATTCTTTACCTGGAGGTGTGGAGGGCCCATAGGTGGAGGTATCCCTCCTGGAGGAGGCATCGGCGGCATATTAGGATCAAAAGGGGGACGTCCAAAGGGGGGCCGAGGTGGTGGTGGAGGGCCTCGCATCATACCAAAAGGTGGAGGAGGTCGCATGAGTGGTGGCGGGCCCCGCATTACTGCATTTGGTGGGGGAGCTGGGCCTCGGAACCTCAAGGCCTGCTGTTGAGCCATCCTGTGTGGGAAAGCAATAAATTTTTTTCTTGAAATTACAAAAATGTGGCTACTGATCTCCAATGACATAAAATTTAAAAGCCCTTAAGTGCAGGTGTATTTGAAAAGTTATCCTGCAACCATCATGGTAAAAACTGGATCAACAAGAATGATAAATGGATGCCCAATCTCAGTGGAAATGTGGATGAGGATAGTTGGATGGTCTTAAAATGTTTACTTATAGTTGCAAGAAAGGATTAAAAAAACACTATGTAATAGGGAAACTGGGCAATATCTTGACCAAATGATCAAAATTAGTATCTTCTAAGAATGACAGATAGATCACGTGTGACTGAGAGAGGCACAACACCACCTATTCTAGCCAAGAATATATAATGTCAATCTAATAGCAAGGAAAATGAGGAATGTTCTATTAAAGGAGGGTATATTTTCCATTAATGTCAATGTTATACATAAAAAACAAAGGAAGACTGTGGAAACGTTCCAGATTAAAGAAGGCTGAAGAGACATGACAACACAATACTAACCCTAGACTGGATTCTAGTACTAAAGGGATGAAATGCTATAAAGGAATGTATCGGATCAATTGACAACGCTGGAATATGCTGTCAGATTAAAGTACTATTAACTGGGCTGTATTAAGTAAAAGAATGTCTATTCTTAGAAAATACACATTAAGGTATGTAGGGGTAAAAGGCCATAGGTGTATGTATCTTACCCTCAAATGGTTCAGAGTAACAAAAAGCATGCATGCATGCAAATAATAAAATAAAAAAGGAAAAATATTAACGCTAAGTGTTCTGTCTTTATTTTTACAACTTTCTGTAAGTTTGAAATTATTTCGAAATACAAGGTTTTTAAGGGGCGGGGGAGGAATAGCTTAAGAGAACATTAATATTCTCTGTCTAAAGGGAAAGACTTTCCCTGCACTGCACCCTGCCCCACCACCCCTCCCTCTCTAACTGAATACCCTAGTGTATTTTCTCCATGGCATGTATAAATAGTATCACACAAAATGGTATTATCTATCTCTTCCCCCAAGTGCCTTTTTAAGAAAATTATTAACCCTTAAAAGTGCTTACTATGTGCCAGGCAGTGCTCTAAGCTCTTTTCAAATATTAAGTCATTTAATCATCATAACAACCCTATGAGACAGACACTATAATTAACTTCATTTTACAGATGAGGAACTAGCTCACAGAAGTTAAGTAACTTGCCCAAGGCCACAAAGCTAGTTCGGTAGTACAGCCAGGATTCAAAAGCAGGCAAATGGCTCTTAATTATCATGGTCCCATGTAAGCCCCTTCAGAGTAGGGATTCTGTTCACTCTTGTATCCCCAGCACATAGTTGGTCTGTACATAATACGACTCAATAAATACACTGCATGAACCAAATGAATACCTAAGTGATACTAATCCTAAACTACAAGTAGGGCATTGTAGAATCTTATAAAAATTATTTTTACTACAATTTCGTCAATTTATTGAGTACCCATCATGGTATTCCTGTTAGCTGCTATAAATCTCTACTCTATACATGAAATCTACATTCCTGTCCTCAAGAGAGAATTAACAATTACATTCTTTACGTATACTTGAAAATCATCATTCTTATGGTCTCTCCTCACCAGACTCTTTCAACTTTCCTACATTTTTCAACCCTCTGCTTACAATTACCCTTTGAACTTCTCTAAATTTTCCATATCATAATTCGATTCTGACCCAAAAAACCCTAATAGAGAACCAATTTGCCTTCTAGGAGAAACACAAAATTGTAAACAAGTCCAGAACTACTAAAGCAAGTACATTTATCCAAATTTGCAAAAGATCCTACAATCCAAAGACTGGAAAACATGAGTTAAAAACGGTCATCGCAAAAAGGAATATGGATTGCATCAAAATAATCAGAAGGTCTTTTTCAAATTATATGCACCCCCAAAAGACAGAGGGCCACTGTTACTGAGGAATGTCTTAACTTTTAGGGCAGAAAAAAGTAAACCACCAAGGAAAATAGTCTGCTTTAGCCTTGAGTTAATAATGTACTGTAATCTTAGATTTCCTTTCCGCCTGCCTCTTCTTTTTCAAAAAATCTACAGTATTTCTTTCTTCGCAATTTCATACTGCCTGGTCATAGCTTAAAGCTAAGCGTTTAGGATCTAGAATCACGAAAAACTCCTATCAGGGCTCTGCTTTTTGTTGTAGGCTAGTTACATAATTTCTGAGTCTGAGTTTCCTCAGATGTAAATGAGTCAGGAATAGAAATAAAAGCTACCTCTTATCTCTATTCAATTCAATAATCCCTGTGAAACATTTAGGACAGTGCCTGGTACACAGTAAACTTACTTTAACTGTTACTACTTCATGCCCCCACAAAACCCAGCAATGTTTACCTATAAAGGGCACTTCGTTAATTTGACTAGATGGCTTTCAAAAGTCTACCCCTAAAATGGTGTCAAAATTCACATAATTTCCTGCTTCAACAGCCTAAAATTGCCATTTTCTGATGTCAGTTATATGTAGAACGTGTGCTGAGCTCTCTATATACATTGCTTCACCATAACAACCTCACCAGAACCTGCAGTGAGGATTAAATGAGCTAATAAAGTATTTCAAACAGCATCCAGCACACAAGTGCTATATAAGTATTAGCTATTATTACCGTTCCTATAACATCAGTACAGTAATAGTACTGATAAGTGTTAAATAGTATTAACACTAGTAATAGTGTTAGCTATTGTTACTATAATTGCTATTACCAGGCCCTATATAATCTGGCCCTTGTTAACCTTCCCACAAATTCTAGTCTCTCTGATCAAATACTTCAAGTTCATTACTTTGAAGCCTCTGTATTTGTTCCCTTTGTCTGGCATGTTCTTTTCTTCCCCAGATCTTTACATGACTGGCTCCTTCTCATTATTCAGCCTCAGCTCAAACGTCATCTCACACTGCTTCCCTACCTCTAGCCTCTCCCAGATCCTCTTTGATTCATTATCCAATTTGAGTTTTCAATTATGATAAATGCTATGAAGAAATCTCTCTCATTTGTTTACTTTTGTATTAGCTTTACCCATTAGTATACAGTTCCCTTTGGTACACTGCTACAACACATTGTTTTAACAACAATGAAGTTCCTATATCCAGGCACAGTTACATGGACATAACTTGTACTCTTTTAATCCTCACAACCCAATGAGGTAAATTTGGCACCATTTTTACAGGGGAAAATACTGCACAGAAAAATAACTTGCTTAAGGCAGCCAGTCAGTGGTAACACCAGAGTATTCTTACTGTCATTTTATAGGTGAGAAAATTTAGATTGAGAATACCTTGTCATTAGTATTAATAGGTAAACAAAGGCCCTATATAAAGGATCTATACAAATATGACTTTAAAACTTACTTTAATGGCCTCAACAATAAAGGGATGAATGGCATTTGTAATCTCTGAATTTTCCATCTATTGTAGATGATTTGCATTCCTACCACTTACAATCTTTTCGGAAAACGAAAGCCTATAAGCATGAACAGAAACAATAAAAATATTTCATAAGAACACCATGGAAACAGAAACATAATCTATTTTTCTAGAAGTACTCTAGCCAGGTATATAATCTTCCCAATGGTGAAGACGTTATTGCTAATACTTAAATTGGAGGTGCAAGAATGAAAAGATGCTGATATATAAGATGCTGAGACAACTTTTATAAACTAATTGAGGAAACCTAGGGTTTTAGCCCAGACTCTACCAACTACTCATTGACCTTGCATAAGTCATTTCACACTTGTAGACTGATTTCATCATTCGGTTTACTTTAGACTTCAGATCGATGTTAATTAGGCTGGAAGCTCCTTGAGGACAAAGGACTTTTTTGGTCTGGTCCAGGGCTCTACTGCCAGCGCCTAGGTCTGTAACTGTCACATAGCACACAGTAAATGTCAGCCCAACAAGTGAACCATCTCTAAATCTCCTATCTTCATTTATTTACCACGTATCTACTGAAAACCTCATTTGCCAGGCACTATGATAGACACACCATCAAATACACTCAAGATGCAAATACAAAAACTAAGCCCCAACTTCTGCAATCAAATTGGTCACATAAATAGCTGATTTCTCATAAATCACGAGAAATACTAAAATAAGGGTCTATATAATATATTCTGCAAGCAACTTTCAACCCAAGAGGCAAAGGTAAAAAATATTTACAAGAGAGCAAATTAATTTGCAAATTAAGCCCTATTCAAATCAGTTTTACAACAATGTCTAGACTATTAATAAAATCTAAAAGATGTATTGTTGTAAAACTGAAGAAAGATATTCTCTAAAACACAAAATAATGTTCCCTAATAAATCCATCTGACACTAGCTAAGTAACCTCTAAGATTAGAATCAAGAATAAACTTTCCATCACTAAAACCGAAAGACCCTGACAACTAATATGCACATGCAGGGTTTAAAGGATTTGAAATACATCTGACATAAGGCAAAATTTTATTCCTCCCCAAGTAGGGATTTTTGTGTGACAATTCAGAATCTGAAAGACATTATTTTTTTCTAAAATCTTAAATAATAATTCCCATATATAATTTCATCTTAAGCTCTAAACAATATTACAGAGTCCTCATAATCTACACTGCTCTTTTTCATTTTCAAATGTTGACAATAGCACAATTCAGAATGGGAGCTGATCATCTGAAATGACATTTCTCCTATTCAGAAAAAAAAATGTACCAAACATACATAAAGAATAGTATCTCCTTTTTCCTAAAAAAACCACTGACCAAAAGCCATATATGTCTTTCCCAGTCGCTCTTAATTTTATCAAATTTTAATCATAAATTCCATAGGCATTGAGGTTCCAGAGGAAAAAAGGTCACTGCAACTCTTTAGGCCAATGGCGTGGGTAGCAGACAAACAGAACACCCATCAAGATCTCAGGCTCCGGAGCCTGACTGCCTGGGTTCAAGCCACTTCCTGGAGCCACAATTCTACTTATGCAATCTTGTTCTACTGACTCAACCTCTACGAGGCTCAGTTTCCTCACCTGTAAGATGGGCGAGTAACTTAACGGAAGATGCCTCTGGTGTGTGGCCTGCAAAACGAGAAGAGCCTACTACTCTAAAGGGTGGCTGTGAGGACTAAAGGCGACAACCCTAAGTAAAAAGGTCTTACGCTGGCACATAGTAAGCACCTAACAAACGGTTGCTGCTATTGTTATTGTTCGCAACTGCAGAATAATAAGCAATAAAGAGATGAGAGAAAGGAAGAAAAGCCATACGAAGTTAAGAAAGGCAAGTGATGGGGGGCACGAGATAAAAGGGCAAACGGGGGGACTCCAAATAGCCGCGGAGAGCGTGGAGAAGACTGAGCCAAAAGTGACGAGGGATCCCGGGGAGTTAACTGCAGAGTGGAGGGGCGTCGATGAGGAAAACGGGGCCCGCGGCGGAGCGTAGCCAGGAGAAAGGCTGAGGTCGGCCCAGGCGGAGGCGGCACGCGGCTGAGGCGGGGCCCCAAGGCGGGCGGGAGCGCCGGGCCAGCCCGGCGGGCCGCGAGGGGCGGCGGAGACCCGCGAAACCGCAGGGAGCGCCCCGAGAACGCGCTGGAGGCCGCGGCCCAGCCCCGGCCCGACTCTGTCTCATTCAAGCCACCTTCCCCTTCCCCCTTCTCAAACCCCATGCGGTCCTGACCCAGCGCCACCGCAGCTCCGCTGCCCACCGTCCGCCCCGTATCTTCGCACAGCAGGCCTAGCCCCTGGGACTCTAGCTAGCCGAGATGTAAGGGAGGGCAGCACTCCTTACCTGAGCTCCCCCGGATTGAATCGCTCGCCGTCCCCCCCGTCCCCGCCACGCTCCGCCATTACAGAGGGCCGCGTTCCTCCACCCGCCGACCCGGCGTCCTCTATTGGCCGGAAAGTTCGTCAATCCCGTGCAAGAGAGGCGGAGATAGCGGAGATCTACGAAGTGATTGGTGAAGCTTTCCATCAATCCGCGAATTGAGGGCGGTATCTGCCTTACTATTGGGCACAGGGCCCGCCGACTTTGAAAGCGGTATGGAGACAGCCAGTTGATTGGTCGCTTGCAGGCTTTATGGGAAATGAGACTTTGGCAACGAGGAACTGCCGGCGCCCTCTCGCGGTAAGGATAACTCAGTCCTCCCACGTTCGGCCCAGCCTGCGGTGGCCACGTGTCCGGCGGCTTCCAGGAGAGCCAATTGTGGAGCCATATTGGCCAGTAGTAGGTCAGGCCGAGAGTGTTTCCATTAGGTAAGCCAATCAAAATCGACCTCGGTCGCGCCTAAACCCATCGCAGAGTTGCTGTGGAAAGGAGCTATTTCCCCAGCTTTACAGTAACAGGAGT